TGTACATCATGAATTACATATTTTCTTCGTTTGTACATTCATTATTAATTGATTAAATAACAAATTAATAATTCTTATTCGCCCCCCACCCCACGCGACAGCTGTTATGGTTTGTGCGGTTATATATACTTCATTTTGTTATTTTCTACCTCAATAAAAAAACATAAAATTGAACACCATGACATCTGATAAACCGTCAATTGTCTCAATTAAACATGTTTCAAACATGATAATAAATATAATCATATTGAAGACATTGGAAATTTGGACCGAGGCTTTTAACAGCGCAAAGGAGGTTATGATGAGGAATAGTCAATAACATTGCAGATAATATTCATGCGACATAATTTATGATCAGTACAAATGTATTACAGGGTTGTGTGTGATTGATTAAAGTGATTAATTATGAGATAATTATTAAAGCATCTTCGGAAATCCGGCTGTTATTCCGAAGATCACAGTGTTGGCGGCGGATGAATCTTCTCTTGTTACATTAATTTTTACTTATTATCAATGAATTATTGTTGAATACCTGTTAAACATTCTTTTTTTCTCATCATTGCATTGCAGGTGAAGCTCCAAAAACGATGAAAAAGACGCCAGAAGGCAAACAAAAGCAGAGAGAACACATGATTCTGAAGAGTTTGGGTGTATATTCGTGGATCGCTTTTCCAGTAATAAATAAATAAAAGACAGAGAGATTGAGGGACTTTCGGCAGGAGTATTACACATACGACATCGCTCGAGATCAATTATCTTAATTATCTCACTGTAACAAAATTACAATGGGTATTTTGAAGCATTATTAAAATTTTATTATTCTTCAAAGAGTGTGTTGGAAGTTTCAAGCTCGCCCTATAGATCGAATATGTTGATTCATCTACAAAAAAGAGGGATTTCAAGAGGAAATTGTGATGGGCATTATACTCTCAGGGTAAATTTTATACAGAATAAAAGTATTCGATAATTGCTTCTGACGTTGTTCATTGTCAAGATAATCATACAATAAATAAGAGAGGGCATAACGCATTTCCATGTGGGATTATTGTATTAATGAAAGCCTCCAGGAGAGGAAATCATTTCCTGTTATCTTCTAATGTCTCTCGATCAATCAGTATTCTCTAAATAGAATAGTTAATCAGTTATCTACCTATAAAAATATTTTTTTTCTTATTGTAGATTGGAGAAATATCGTCACTTCAATCGTAATTATCTTTAAAATAACGGGTTTCAGAAGAATTTTTCGACAGATATCCTTGGAGGAGGCTTTCAAGTTCTATGAAAGAAATCATTTCGATTTTTCCTTCTCAACCGACGAGTCCCCGCAGTTGAAACAATTTTTTTCCTTATCCATAATTCCCTTCAGGTCAAGAACAGCGGCTTTCGACGATTGAATTCCTCTGTGAGAATTAAATTTATGAATAGATTCAGGACTAAAATCATATCAAACTATATCTCTTTTTATTCAATTTGCATTACAAAACAATTGAAGGAAATGCGAACTTTTGGTGAGAAAAATATTAGAATTTCCTCGAAAAAGATATTCGTTAAAATTTCTCATTCCAGTTAATCAACAAAGATTTTAGATTAATTCACTCTTTGAACAAACAACTATCAGTAATAATTATATTATTACATATAAACTGTCATTAATCTATAAATTTTGGCGAGGTAGAACACTGAATTATCAAAAATACAGAACCTTACGTTTCCTG